TTCCATGACCTATGCAAAGCTGGTATGTAATACAATCCCAACAATTATGTACTTCTATTTTCTCTATCATAGTCAGCATCCCTTTGCACTCTGCATAATGAGTACATATGGCATTGCTTTTAAATTCCTTTATTTTGAAGTATGAGCCATTGTTCATTTTATGATTATGACTTTATTTTCAACAAAGGCCATAATCCTTTGTATATATGACTAAGTATAATCTGTCCATCTTCCAATGATTTCTCTCTTAAGCAAGCATCAAAATGGAGTTGTAAGCATGAGCATGAGCCATCTACTCTACAACTTTGTTTAACCAGGATAACACTCCAACTCAATGAAGGAGCTCAAATGTAGCCCAAATAACCTTTTTTTCTTTTTCATATAGGTAGAAAAGGTTGAATATATGGACTTATCTTAAAAGCTAACTGGAATGGTATTGTTGGTATGCATAAAGTAGCCCCAAGGGCATCATGTAGTTGGTAATTATTTACTAGAATCAGCTGCCTTTCTAGAGGTGAGGTAAAATTGGAAGTTTTTAGAGTACATTCCTAAGGCACGTTGGGAGGTGAGGAAAAATTTCTTTCCTAGAGATTTTTGTGTTTTGGAGCATAGATTCTTAATCATGTGGATATCATCGTGATTTTGTACCTTCATGTCATCCCAGCAAGCTTTTGCATTCATAATTGACTACTGACGATGTTATTTCAGGTTAACCAGATTCCCTATTTATTAGTGCCATATTTTGTTTGATGAAATTGAATCCTCGTATTCTGAGACAATGATGCCTTTAACTTGACATTTATCTTGCTGCTTGCCTTCTTACCTGCTGTTGATATTATCCAACCAATCATTTTTTTTTTAATCCAAGTATAGTTAAAATTCCTCATATTTTTACTTGCAGTTGCAGACATTTTCTAACATCATTGTACACTCATATGCAATAATATTTTCTGCTTGCTTTCACACAGAATGTATTGCACTGGCACATTGTAGATACCCAATCTTTCCCGTTGGAGATACCTTCATATCCAAAGTTGTGGAATGGTGCTTATTCAGCCTCAGAACGATATACAATAGCTGATGCTGCTGAAATTGTGAGGCAAGTGCTTTTGCTACTTGGTTGCACTGAAAGAATCCTTATTTTCCTCGTATTTCTTTTGTTCTTGATATGGTGGTTATCAATTGTTGCAGTTATGCCCAAAAAGGAGGGATTAATGTAATGGTTGAATTGGATGTCCCTGGGCATGCACTCTCCTGGTAGTACTAATTTTTCTAGTCATAAAGCAGTGTTAAATTTTGTTGTTGGTGCATAGACTTCCTATATAGTAGATGGAAATGTTCAATTCTGGAGAAAATATTACTTTTGTTCATGGTCATTGTTCCTTGGTATTTTTCACTTGCACAGTTGTACTCCTCAAGATGATCTGTCCATCAGTAGTAATAGTAACTAAAATTAGAGATTTTTGCCATCATTCAATAGATTGTGAACTTGTTTTTCTTATTCTTTAGGGGGGTCGGCTATCCTGCTTTATGGCCATCAAATGACTGTCAGCAGCCACTTGATGTCAGTAATGAATTCACTTTTCAAGTGATAGATGGAATTCTTTCAGGTGATCTCATTGGCATAAAAACATAAATGACTGACTCCACACTGTGTTTTATTTCTTCCTTCCAATACATATATTTTCTTAATAAAATCTTCAAAAATGAAATTAAATTAATGTTATTGATATTTCTTTTTACAGATTTCAGTAAGATCTTTAAATTTAAGTTCGTTCATTTGGGAGGTGACGAAGTTAATACAAGTAAGCTCAATGTGCCTTGTAATATCCTTACAATAAGTTCAATATACTTTCTAATGCTCTTACAGTCTCACTGATGTAATGATATTTTGTCATGATTATGGTTTATGCTGCTACAATTGACATTTGATGCTAGAGATTGGTTGATTTTTTTAGTATATTTGATGAGTGGACTATACAACAAGGTATAGAATAGTTATAGTCTGTTCCTTTCAAAAATCCCTCCCAATTTACCTCAAGTTTCAAATTTGAGATCTTCAACTTGAAGTCTAACCTTTTATCAATTGAGACACCCTTTGGGGACTAAAGAATAGTTTATTGAAGTATATGTACATTCTCTACCAATTTTCATTAAAATCAGACATTCTACTGATAAGAAAAACAAACCATATATATTCCTTTTTGTTTCCCTTTTTTGCATCAACTAAAGTTTATTTGATATTTTCTTCATCTCATAGAAATGAAAGTGTCTTTGAGGGTTTTCCTAAACCTATGTAGAATGTCAATACAATTTAATATTTTAAACCAATAACTTATTAACATTTGAATTCATTATTAATTTCAGGTTGCTGGACTGATACTCCACGCATAAGCAAATGGTAAGACTATTAGGATCTTTGCAAAAGTCTTACACTATCTGAGTTAAACATAAAGGGCTCATTTGGTTAGAGGGTGTTCGTATTCCTTGGTTAAACAATAAAAACAAAACATGGTTAAGAAACTACATTAAGCCTAAATATTTATAATTCTTATTAAGATTAGGTGAGAAATAAGGAATACATAATATTTAGGGGACGTTTTAATTCATATTCCTTACTCATGCCTTAATTTAGTAGTAAATTATCAATATTAAGAGGTAACTAATTCTAACTTCTTAAGGATGTTTCTCAATTTTGCCTTATTTTTATAGTTTGACCAATGAATAACCACTCCTTCCAACCAGAATGTAAATTCAAAATCCTCCCCAAATTGGTCTATGATTACAGTTTCCCTAAAATTTTGAAGACCAATGCCAACTTCCCTAAAAACCTGCATTTCTCCCTCTTAAAATGCCTAAATAGTAAAAGCTTACTCATACATTTATTCACCAAGATGGTAATTAATAATCTCAACAAGGTTTAGAGAAAGTGTAGTAATAAGGTTCCTTAAAAGTGATTTTTTATTTGTTCTGTTAGAAAATTTTTTTTTGGTGGATAACATGGGTATCTGGGCCTTTAGCCTGGGTAGTTGCAAAACACCCCATCCAAAGCAAAGCTCCATCTAATGTGGTGAATGTAGCCCTGTGGAATTGTTTGCAGCCAAATGGCAATAAATACTATGAGAAATATTAATT